TATATAGGGAAAAAGGGCAGGGCGGGTTTTGATATGAGAGATCAAGCAAAGAGCCAATAAGAAGGGCTTAAAAGGATAGGGTGAGGTGGTGGGGAGGCTTTACGTGAATACGGAACTAAAGTTGCTGAATCACTGGGACCCGGAAGGGCGAGGCTGGCAGCTACATGCCGTTGAGCGCTAGTGAAATGGTGGCCGCGGAGCGCATGAACTGGCGCCCGTGCGCGTCAGGGCGCATGCGCGCAAAGTTATGCCCAACAACTCTCCAGTGCGCCACCGGGCCGGCCCAGAGCTGATTTTTTAAAAATTCTTTTTTAAAAAATTGACATGTCTTTAATGGCATCTCTATTGAGATATAATTTACATACTATGCCATTCACCCATTTAAAGTATACAATTCAATAGTTTTTAGTATATTCACAAGTATGTGCAATCATTACCACAGTCAGCTTTAGAATATTTTCATCACCTCAAGAAGAAATCCTGTACTCCTTAGCTCTCCTCCTTCCACAACTACCCCCAAGATGTAAGCAATCTACTTTCTGTTGCTATAGATCTGCTTGTTCTGGATGTTTCATGTAAATGGAATTTATAATACATGGTCCTTTGTGAGTGGCTTCTTTCACTTAGCGTAACATTTTTTAAGGTTCATCCATGTTGTGGCATGGACCGGTGCTTTATTCCTTTTTTATGGACATATATTTCATTGTATGAATATAACACAATTTGCTTATCCATTTATCAGTTGATGCATGGAGAGATGCAGGCAGTTAACTAGGCTGGATTCAGACTCCAAACCCTCTCTCCCATGCTAAATACAAACAGATCTCACCAGTCATGTCTTCCTTCTGAGGATGAATGCCATTCCAGTTTCTGCCTGTTTTTGATTGGTCTCTAATGCCTTCAAATGGCTGCTTTTGGATTTTGCCCAGAGTTTATCATTGTTTTCTGTGTGAAGGTTAGCCAGTTAAATATACTCCCCTGTCACTGGATGCAAAACTCATAATGCCTTGCATTTCAATTGACAACACAGCTTATTGAGCCTTTCATAGACTTATCTCCTTCAATCCTCAGAAAACAGCCCCTTTCCTCACTCCAGATAAATGTCTTAGGTAAAGAGAGCATGCTGCTGAGGACTTGAAGTCACTCTCTCAATGTCTATTACAAAGCTGAACTCTTGAAAATAGAGATTTTAGAGTTTAAGAGGTTTGTCGAGTGGGGTTATTATTGATGGAATTCAAAGATTCATTCTTTACTCTTTATAATTACAAAAGTTGGACTTCAAGATTTGTGAATTTTATCACCTCTTGTGATTTGGGGCCAAGAGTGCCAGGGAGGCTATAAGATTCAGCCCTGACCTTTCAGCGTTTCCAAAGTAGGCTGTTATCTGGCCTCCCTACAAAGGCTGAGGAAAGGAATACTGGAACCGTGAGTATCCCCGTTCTCTCTCCCACCTAGAGACTTAGTAATAATTATAATCACCACCACCACCACCATAATGAAGTAATTATCATAATAAAAACATCTCTGTGAAGCCTTACCTCATCTCTGTCCTGCTAGGTCCTAGTTAGTCTTTGAAGCCCCTCTGTAGCCTTCTGGTAGTTCCGTGAAGGAGTAAGAACATGTTTCGGCAACACTTCCCGTGAGTTCTTCCCTTCCTGTGAGTGCTGTGCCTGGCACAGAGTGAGTGGGTGCTCAGCTCAGGAAGTGCTTGTGCAGTGGATCTTTGAACAGCTGAGCATATAATCAGATGGGAAGAAAACCTTGTGGTTCTGACCTTCTGTATGACTATTCTGAATCTATTACTTGTTTGCTTCATTTCATGCATTTGTTCATAAAACCCCACTTGAGAGAAAAACATAATATCTAAGTAGAATTTTTAAAATTCTGAAAACTAAGTACAAGTTCTGAGTAAAAGTTTTTAGGAATTAAATACAATTTCTATGTCATCTTTTTTGTTGTTTGTTTGTTTTTAACCTCTGCGTTAATCATTCTGAACAAAAGTAATATCTAAGTAGAATTTTTAAAATTCTGAAAACTAAGTACAAGTTCTGAGTAAAAGTTTTTAGGAATTAAATACAATTTGTATGTCATCTTTTTTGTTGTTTGTTTGTTTTTAACCTCTGCGTTAATCATTCTGAACAAAAGAACCAGGAATCCAGTGAATGAACCTGTTTTTCCTCCCTATTCACTCATGCATTAAAAGATTACACGTCATAAACAGTTACATTTATCATAGCACCTGAAAATGCTTCCTGATTTAGAACAGAATACAAAGCATCACAAACTGTTGGTGTCTCTGGGGATCTAATTTGAATAGTGTCAGAGAAAAACATTTTGAAAGAAAAATGAGAAGCTGTGATAATGCACCATTTTGATTTTTTTTTAAATAAAAATACAGATTATGTGACATCTCTGGGGAGACTTGTGGCTTCTCGGTATGCTGATGGCCTGTTTCCACAGCTCTGTAGAGCAGAAGATGGCAGAGTCTACAATGTAAGTTGGGGTTCCCTTGAAGGACACATCCTGTGGCATGCTGCTGAGGTCCCATCAGGGAGGTTGCTGTGTGGAGAGGCCTGTGCTGCGTGGCACAGATGCAGCTAAGCTGAGGACTTCTTAGGCTGGAGCTTTTCTTTTGGCAGTGCTAGAGTGATGAAGGTCACGGCCAAGAAGCTAGAGAAGGAAGTCCTTGACCTGTTAAGAGATTAGTACAGTAGGCCCTTGACCAGGGACGAAAACCTGTGCATACAGCACTTTATTTTGCCTTAAAAATGAAGAGATAAAAAGCAATATTGCAGAGATTAGCTGAGTAGAGCAAGCTGCCATGACCCAACAGAAGCACTAGGCACAGGGGCAGCTTTTGCAGGTAGAAGAGGAGAACGAGTGAGCAGCATATATAGCTGGAGTCCTTTGTGCCCAGCAATTCGACATGTGACTCTTGTGCCCCACGTGTGTTGGGCCTGGTGCAGATGCCAGCCCACCATGTGGAGCTCACAGTCCGTTGGAGACACGTGTTCCCTCATACCCATTCATGTTAATGTACAATCATGTACCACCTGGGCTTTCGTTTCCTAATATTTAAAAAATTTAAATTATTTTTTAAACTAAGCCCGATCCTAGCAGTAATATCCATGGAATCTTGAGTTTGGTGTGCTATGTATATTTTTTATCTGAACCACATTAAAATCACTACAGAACTATTAAAAACATCTCTCTTTACCATCTGAGTCACCTCCTGTGATCTGCTCCTTCCTGGTTTCTGTGTTGCAGCACGTGCTGTGATGGCTGGTGAGGGGGTTAGGAATCCCACCTTAAGGAGCATGAGAAACAGTAGAGAAGTGATGCTGGCACTTGAGAGACACATGGGCAGGGGAGGGAAAGGGGCTCAAGGAGTAGGGCATGAAAATGTGGAATTATGTGTGTGTTCAGAATGCACATTTTCCTTAACACCTCAGGTATTTGGGGGTGGTTAAAGTTTAAGAAAGTACCAGATCTTCTTTTAAAAATTGATTTGTCGCAGAATATAGCAAAATTTTTTCTTATTCCTTTTCTATGTCTTCTGCCTCCCTGGACCCTCCCTGGCCTTGCACAGCTGTGCTTGGTCCATGCAAAGGATGATTTATTTGTGCTTATAAGAAATTGCCCACAAGTCTCTGTCACCTTTTGGGGCAACGCTTAGAGGTCTTGGTGGCAGCCATGGGTGAGCAGGTGACTCCGGGGAGCTTGGCCTGAAAATCGGAGTACACAAGGATGAACATCATGAGCAGGAGGATGACCAATTGGGGTGGTTTTCCATGAAACCAGGCAGATGTGCTGCATGGTTAGAAGCATTTTCAGAAAAATGTTTGGAATGTTGTACTTGGAAAAACTTTTTAGTGAGACCGATTTTTTTCCATCTGCCTTTGCTGGCCTTTCTTTTCTTCTACCTAATTTCTTAAAAGCACCCTTTGCCATTTTCTGATAAAGATAATTTGTAACTGTAAAGATAAAATGCAGCCTGGAAACATTTTTTGAAAGAGCGCTGTGTTTTGAATAGATCACATCATCCTCTTTCTGCGGGGAATCAGCTGAGGGGTTTTCAGTTGAGAGACTGGAACACTTCCTCCTGGCTTAGGCAGGGTTTGGAGAGTCATTTACAAAATTGTTATTAATGCACAGTTCTTCATGGCAGCATTGTGGTTCAGATAACTTATTTTGGTGCTATTTTATTGCTTTTGTGTTTTACTTTCGTTTTCATTAAGCTGACAGCTAAGTCAGAACTGATCTATCAGTTTGTGGAATGTTTAACACAAGCCGTGGAGAGCTACAAGCAGCGGATGGAATGGCTCACCAGCAGAAGCCGGCAGATTTTTGGTGTCATCTTGGAACAGTGCATCACCATAGTGCTGGATTTTGGTGGCATTCTGGAGGGGGAGGTTAATTTGTGCCAAGACGCGCTAATCATGGTCCTCCAGGAGCAGGTGGCTCACATAACCAAGTTCAATATCATACAGTGAGTAGCCATCGGAAGAGGGTATTTCAGTGAAACTTCTAGTAATTTGCACATATCTGGAGGTAAATAGCATAGCTAATACAGTTAGCTCTATGGTCGGGGAGGGGGTATTATGTTGTAATTTCCTAGAACATGCAATTTCAGCAGAAAATCCACAATAAATACATTTTAGGAATCTCTTTTCTGCTTTGCACAGGGCATCTTAGTTTTCACATTGAGAGATTTAGAAGCATATTTATTTAATGTATGGGAAGTCAAAATATAGAGATATGAGTTATATAGAATATATTCTTAAGGCCATAAATCTCTTCACTTATTTTAGATTTTTGCTTGGGTAATGAATTCAAAGGTCACAAATTTTACTGTTTTTCCAGGCTGAATTTGCAACCCAAGTTGATCTTCCCTGTAAGTTGACCCCTTTAATCAGAACAACAGGTGGCTAGCTTTAGAGGATTTCCTGTATTTCAGAGTTTTGACAATCAATTATTTATGGATTCTTGGGTCCAAGAGAATTTGGACCTCAGCACTAACTTCTCATCTGGAATAGCAGTTGCACCTCCGTGATGAGAAACATCTGGATACAGGGGGATCTACCTAATTGATTTTTTCTTTTTAAAATCAAATCCTTACGGCTAAATAGAGGACATGTTTCTGGGTCCAAGAGAATTTGGACCTCAGCACTAACTTCTCATCTGGAATAGCAGTTGCACCTCCGTGATGAGAAACATCTGGATACAGGGGGGTCTACCTAATTGATTTTTTCTTTTTAAAATCAAATCCTTACGGCTAAATAGAGGACATGTTTAGGGACCATGGCTAATCATGTTCTATCCCAGATTCCTATTTGTTATAGGTATTTTACTGAAGGAATTAAGTGCTTAAGTGTGCAAAGCTTTTGCTTTCTTGGAAATGTTTGCTATAGCACATATGCCACTCAGCCAGATTCTCTACCCAGAGACGCCACACAGAGGGGACACAAGCGTGTGCCACTCGGCCTCTGGAAGTCGGCTATGAAGGGCAATCAGGTCAATTTATTTGCAGTTAAAAACACAGAGATAAATTCAAGTGGCTCTTTTAGCAGGGGGTGGGGTTGGGGGTTTCCATCAGTTGTTTCCAAGCCCAGACTAAATGGTTCAACCAAATTTTCTCAGGATTTAAAGACTAATGCTCTGATGAACTAAAAACAATACTATTTTTGATCCAAAAAAAAACGTAAGTGATGGGAAACTTTCAGGACAATTGAAAACAATGTCATGAAAGAATTAGAAATAAAATGTTAGAGTAATAAAATTAGCTGCTGATTTGTAAATCTTCATACCGCAAATCTTATAAATCAGTTTATAATAGAAGACAGTTACGTATGAAACTAACTTCTCTCAATATTTTTAAAGCACTTGGTAATGTTTGCATTTTTGAGGGGTTTTGTTCCCATGTAAACATTGCTTTCCTAGTGAGTACATACAGCTCATGCAGGGTCATGGTGCTGTGTCTTCCACAGTCTGCCCACTCTGTCGGGAGCTTCAGGGGGGTGGCGGCTGCGCTTGCTTTGTCTCTCACCCCTGGCAGCATCAGGTGGCTCAGGCTCATGGCTGTGAGACCATGGGTTGACATTCCTCCAGGGGCATCGATCACTGCCCAGTGACCACTGCATGCGATTCCTTTCAGGGTTTCTCAAGAGCCTGTGAAATGGCAGGAAGATGCTACTCCTGTGACTGAACAGTCCATAGCCGCTGCCATCAGCTGGGTTGAGACACTGACTTTTGAGGTGACTGTGAGTGAAGTTAGCCGCTTGCATGCTCTGCTGGAAGCTGGGAAAGACAAAGCCGTGAGTGTGTATCTGTGGTTGGTCCCAGGTCACAAAGGTGGCTTCAAGTTTAACTCTTAATGCTCAGTATCTTCACACTGCCTTTCAGCTGACCTTGGCCGCTCCCAGCAGCATCCCACAGAGACCCCGTCATTGGCATTGAAGAACACCATAGTCATAATCCTGTTCTCCTCTGAATATGGAACCAGTTGAAAAATAGAATACAGTCCCCAGATGGGGATCGAAATAACAGCTTTGGTGACAGCAGAGCTGGACCAACCAAAATGAGATTCCCAATACCTGTCCCCTGGGCCTGCCTAGGCTCCCCCTGAGGGGTGGTTGGGGCCTCAGGGCAGAACCTCATTTAGCCAGTGCCAGGAGAGCCACGTGCTGCTCACACCCACTCAGCATCAGGAAAGGACAGGGAGTGAGGCCGTCATTGTGCGTCTCTAACACATTAATCCCACTCCTGCTGCCCTGCCAATTAGATAAATCAACCCATCTCCTATAGGGAGGAAAGAGGGGTTGAAAGACTCCTCATAGAACCCTGAGGATGAGGAAATAGGGTTTCCCCAGCACCCACGTTCTGTACCTTTCCCAGTTCCTCTTCTTTACAGATGGATCTATCATATGCTTTCCAATGTTAACTATACCCAAATTGATGAGCCCATCCATTGCCGAATGTTAATGTATTGACATATGCATTTTGATAGGGACCTTTTGGAAATGAAGCTTTACCTGGAAGAAGTGATTAAGTGGTGGTGTCTTATGTCTCTTTCAGCCACAGGGTCTGTGCTTTTGCGTCATTGTGCGTCTCTAACACATTAATCCCACTCCTGCTGCCCTGCCAATTAGATAAATCAACCCATCTCCTATAGGGAGGAGAGAGGGGTTGAAAGACTCCTCATAGAACCCTGAGGATGAGGAAATAGGGTTTCCCCAGCACCCACGTTCTGTACCTTTCCCAGTTCCTCTTCTTTACAGATGGATCTATCGTATGCTTTCCAATGTTAACTATACCCAAATTGATGAGCCCATCCATTGCCAAATGTTAATGTATTGACATATGCATTTTGATAGGGACCTTTTGGAAATGAAGCTTTACCTGGAAGAAGTGATTAAGTGGTGGTGTCTTATGTCTCTTTCAGCCACAGGGTCTGTGCTTTTGTGAGTGACTCTAGTGATGGGACTGTTGAGGGCAGTGGCAAGCCAGTGGGGAAGTACTTGGGAAGGTGGGGTCCTTTGGACAGACCAACTCCCCGGGTGGGGGTAGGTCTTCTTGCCTTTGGGATGCAGAAACTTAGCACTTACTTGCTTCCTTCATTCTGCAAGCCTTGGGTTCGTGTAGATTTCAAGCTTTACTCCACTGCATTCAGAAGTTCTTTCTTGGAGGAAGAGGCCACGTGCCAGCACCTTGAAAGGATAGCTCCCCGTGGCCCCCAGCCTGTGTTCATCAGTACTGAGGGTGATGGTTTGAAATTGGAAACACATTGTTTTCCTCATGAAGCCAGAGGAACAAATGTTTTCCATTAAGGAAGAACCAAATAAAACCCACTTTGTTCTTTGGCCCTTTGGGTTTGTTTTAACATTTGTAAAATTTCAAGTGTCTGAACACTTGAATAAGCATTCAAGAAATGGAACATTTCACAGGCTCTTGGGTATGTGTGCATGAGTGTGTGCACATGAGTGTTCTTTTGCTTTGTCCGTTAACCTAGCTATTGTGGTCATGGCTGACTCTGGCCACCTGACGTGACTGCTAGATCTCCTGGTGACCTTGCTTTTCTATGTCACTTCCATCTGGTTTGTGCCTCTCCTTTCTCTGGGCTTCATCTCTTGTCCAGGAAATAAGGAACAATTCAGTGCATTCCAGGGAAGTCCTATAGGAGAGGAAGTACCAAGAAAGAGCTCCCAGGCACCGATTGCCAGATGCAGCCTGAAAGTCCTTGAGAAGAGACTGTGGAGTATGGGAAATGCAAAACATGCGCAGACTGCTGTGTCCCTCCCCCTAGAGCCTCTATCTGGGTGTGTGTCAAAGAAAATTCTAGTAAATGCAACAAACTCATACATAAAAATGCCATGCCCTATGTTTTATGAGGAGTAAAAAAAAAAGCATGCAAGGGGGTGGGGCGGCAGGGGGAGTGGAGAGGAAAGGGTTCCACGAGGGCCGCCTCCTCTGCTCCGCGCCGCTCACGTCCACCCCGCGAGTTTCAAATTCATCCACACAGCAGCAGTATGCTGTGAATAGAAAACATTTACGGCTTAAGAAATTTTTTGAACACTAAATATAAACTTGCAGACTTTCCTTACTAATGATAACCTGCTTTGGGTTAGCATCTCTCTCCATGAGTGCGTCCCGGAGAGGAACCAAAAAAGTGGGTATTGTCTTGTGTCCACAAGTTGACACAGAAATCCTATTATTGTACCAAGGCCACGTGGGGAGTAATGGCTGAGTGATGGGCGTGGTTATGAGGAAGGAGGACACCCAGAGGTCACTGGCCGCGTCCAGCACTGGGCTTCGTAACCACAGGCAGGCCGGGAAGACTGAACAGGGAGGGACGACCGAGGTGAGCCTTCGAGTCTAAGAAGAGCCCTCTGGGCAGAGCATAGGGGTCTGTTTAAATCATGGTTCTATTAATAGCACTTAAAGAGCACCCACTCGTGTCCTGTGAACAAGAACCTGGTTCATGGGAAGGGCGGCACGGAGGGTGTTGTGTAAATGTTTGGCGGTTAGAGGGTATCCTCTGGTCCCTGGAGATATGTCTTCTGGAAGTTGGCAGTTTCCCTGGCCTTTCCGAGGAGGAGTGTGCACCAGGAGGCTGCAGAAGGCCTGCTGATGCGGGAGTCTTTAGGAAAGAGAAGGCTGTTTCTCCAAAGCCCTGGTTCTCAGCTGCCTAAGAGGACTAACTAGGGGCTTTGCTTCTGCTTTCAGGAGGAGGCCACCTGCCTAGGGACACCGGTGTTTCTGTGTTTGTTCTCTCAGCCTCTCTTCCATCCACCTGATAGGCACAAATCTATTTAGTTTTTTTTGTTTTTAAAAAAGATCATATTCACTTGGAGAGGACGTGGCTGAATCAAAGACAGACCCACCTGATTCCATGGGGAGCCTTCACTGCTGGACTGTAAGCTGAAGGCCTGGCCACGTCAATCTGTGAACCTGGCATTTCATTTTTTCATTTTTTTTGTATTGGCTCAGACGTGCATCAAATCTTCTCATTTTTGTGTCTCTAATGACTAACAAGGGNACTAAATATAAACTTGCAGACTTTCCTTACTAATGATAACCTGCTTTGGGTTAGCATCTCTCTCCATGAGTGCGTCCCGGAGAGGAACCAAAAAAGTGGGTATTGTCTTGTGTCCACAAGTTGACACAGAAATCCTATTATTGTACCAAGGCCACGTGGGGAGTAATGGCTGAGTGATGGGCGTGGTTATGAGGAAGGAGGACACCCAGAGGTCACTGGCCGCGTCCAGCACTGGGCTTCGTAACCACAGGCAGGCCGGGAAGACTGAACAGGGAGGGACGACCGAGGTGAGCCTTCGAGTCTAAGAAGAGCCCTCTGGGCAGAGCATAGGGGTCTGTTTAAATCATGGTTCTATTAATAGCACTTAAAGAGCACCCACTCGTGTCCTGTGAACAAGAACCTGGTTCATGGGAAGGGCGGCACGGAGGGTGTTGTGTAAATGTTTGGCGGTTAGAGGGTATCCTCTGGTCCCTGGAGATATGTCTTCTGGAAGTTGGCAGTTTCCCTGGCCTTTCCGAGGAGGAGTGTGCACCAGGAGGCTGCAGAAGGCCTGCTGATGCGGGAGTCTTTAGGAAAGAGAAGGCTGTTTCTCCAAAGCCCTGGTTCTCAGCTGCCTAAGAGGACTAACTAGGGGCTTTGCTTCTGCTTTCAGGAGGAGGCCACCTGCCTAGGGACACCGGTGTTTCTGTGTTTGTTCTCTCAGCCTCTCTTCCATCCACCTGATAGGCACAAATCTATTTAGTTTTTTTTGTTTTTAAAAAAGATCATATTCACTTGGAGAGGACGTGGCTGAATCAAAGACAGACCCACCTGATTCCATGGGGAGCCTTCACTGCTGGACTGTAAGCTGAAGGCCTGGCCACGTCAATCTGTGAACCTGGCATTTCATTTTTTCATTTTTTCAGACCCACCTGATTCCATGGGGAGCCTTCACTGCTGGACTGTAAGCTGAAGGCCTGGCCACATCAATCTGTGAACCTGGCATTTCATTTATTTCCTTGTATTGGCTCAGACGTGCATCAAATCTTCTCATTTTTGTGTCTCTAATGACTAACAAGGGCTCTATGAATGTTTGCTGAACGTTTAAGAAAAGGAAAGGAAATGATGTTGATATTCTCGAGTTTGGGGCTAGCAACAGATTCCCCATCCCCAAACTGTGGCACAGATATGAGTTTTCCTAGATGAAGGCAGGTGGTCTGTGTGGGTCCAGGTAGGTGAATTCACTGAGCCTTGTAAGACTCTGGTAGGGATAGTGAGGTGGGGACAGGGATCCTGAAGCCTGGGAGGCCAGAAATTAGTGGTAGTCAGGGATGTCAGGAGGGATTTTAGAAGCAAACAAGGTCACTGCCATACAGAATGGTCACCACCGTGGAGGGAATCAGAAAATCAAAACAGGCTGAGCCAGGAGAGAGCTGCCACAGTTACAGGGAGGATCTGGAGGTGAGATGCACAGGTCCAGAGTTGGCTAAAATTGTTGCAGTGTTCTTCGTACACCTTTGAACAAGACAGAATTCATTTTGGCTTCCTTGAAGAGTAGAGATTTTATACTTGGAGGCCTTGGGGATGAGAGAGCAGGCTCCTGACAAGCTGGAGCAGAGGGCAGCCGGAGGAGAGGCAGCCAGCCCCATTCTGTTTCTTCTTCTCCCAGAGCTGCAGCCGGGAAGATGTCAAGGACTCTGGCTGGGCAGAATGCAGGTTACTGTGTGAAGCTGCACAATGAATGGGCCAGACAGAACGTGACATTTTAAGTGAAAACATAAAGGCTCCACCCTACTTTAC